TTAAAAATAGATATGTATACATATTTATTTATCACATAAAATAAACAACTGCTATAGAGTCAGTGCCCTTGTCTTCCTCTCCTAATATTCCACAGGCCTTAAATGCACCCACTTTAACATGTCTCATTTAGGTTTCAGGATTTTCTCCTCACAGTTGTTTGGCACTTTCTGCTCCTGTGAGGAGACACAGCATCCAATGCTGCTCTAACACGTTTGAACCATATATTAGTATCTGTTGCAGTGTAATAATCTCTGTCTTTCTGCTTAGTTTACCTCTCATTCTGGGTAGATCTTTTTTTTAAAAATGTGTTTGGTAGACTCAGGACATTTTCAACCAATTGAAAATCCCAGCAGCTGACTTTAAAATGCGCGAGTATGTTTTTCTGACGACGCTGCCGTAGATGTGTTGGAGCAAATGTTTTTTTGTGCTTGGAACGAAAAAGGATTGTTCCTCAGACATGTGCTGAAATTTTGAAAACGGATATTTCAGTGCACCAAAAGGCCTGAAGGAGGAAAGACGCGTTTTATGTTAGCTCTGTAGATCACAATAGCTTTGAATCCACAATAGATCACTTAGAACAAACTCCATTTCGTGACACAGCATTGGTGGGGAATGCTGTGGAGGTCCGGGCCTGCTAACAGACCTGGTTGATTCACTCTGACGTCCATGTAATGGATAAAGAAACTAGGCGAGCGCTGATAGCGAAGAAGAGAGGCATGTCATCCGGAGGGCTGTGCTCCATTCACGCTGCACGTGTCTGCCTGTCGCAGGCCTCTGCAAAAACAAATGTGTGAAGAGACACAGACGCGCAGGTAAACCTGCGGAATTCGGATGAGTCCTCGCCCACCGAGGTCCGTTCAGGCAGCCAGAAACAGGCACCTGAGTGCTGCACGCTGACATGAGGCGGTTAACAACCCCGCTGAGCTGCAGCTTTGTTTCCTCCGCAGTATCTGTGTCAAAAATATGTGCCGAAGGAATGGTGGGGAAGAGCACGGTTGTTTTTTTTTTTTCAACATGCTCATTGGGAAAGAGGCTTTTGATTTTCACAAATCCTTGCCAGGGGGGAAAGAAACGGTTTTATCTGTGAAAATACAAACACGTGTATTTTTGTACAAATTAGAAATCTCACACTAATTGTTTGGATAATTCAAGGCTTTTTCTAGGACCATGAAACACCACGAATGGCTTTGTTTGAAGCTTTCCCCGAGGGGATATTTAATAATGGATAAAGATCAAGTTGGTTGAATCAATATTTTTACATTTTCCTCAAATCTGATGTAAAATCCTTACTTAACTTATAAAATGTATGCTATGTTTTTTCTGCTCGTTTTTGTGTTTTTTTGGGGACTTCATTTTAGAGTTTCATTAGGCTTCAAACCTGGAGCAAAAAAAGCAGAAAATGATATATATCAGCACAGTAAAAATCTATTAAGAATCTGCATGTTTAAACCGAAAAAAGTCCAGATCACCTTTTTGGTCACAATAAGGACTATAATATCTATTTAAAAAATAATAGATTTCGTGTTCGCCCTGAGCTGAACTGTCACTGATTGATTCACATGACTGCTGAAAAAGGGCAAATTAATAGGCTTTTTCATTCTGGCTACATTGGATAATCCTTTATCAAATAAGTAAGTCAAAGCAATCCATTTTTGTCACCACTGTATGTTGTTGAGATTATTTTCATTTTGTTCAGGAACAGAAGTTGATAGAAAATGTTTTTTGTCTTATTGACTGTGTAATTAGCCACATTGTTTTTTAACCTCAGCTCAGTTTTTTAGTTTTGATTCTTTGCAGAAGTAATGTGTTTAAAGAACTGCACTGCCTGTTTGCTGTTTCAAAGAAACTGAGGCAAATCTGTGGGGGAAAAGTTGGCTCTTTCTATGGCCCTAGCTCCAACGCTCTACCAAGTTTCATGAAATAAAAAAGAAACAAATCAAAGTAATTCCGCAAGCACGTAAACAGAGTGTAAAACACACTGAAATCCTGCCACAATTTCCAAGATGTTTCCAGGAAAGGGAAAAGCCAATTTATATCAATCACAGGGAAATAATGAGTTCGTTTAGAAAATCGGAAATTGTTTAGTTACTATATTTACTTTTATTATGTTTAAATTTGATGTCAGCGCGCATTCAAAGCTCCTCTTAGCTCCAATTTCTAAGCATAATCAGTTGCATTCTAATGGCTAATTGTGATTGACAAATTAAAAGCCTCTCTTCTGCCTTAATTATTGCCCAACCACTCAGTCCTTCAAGAACTCTTTTTAGAAAGATGGTTTTGAACGATTGACCTTTCCCGACTATCATAAACCCCAAATAAAACTAAATTGTTGAAATTCTTCTAAAACCTTTTTTTAAAGGGCTGTTCTTTTAAAACCCCTTTATTTCTAACGGGTCTTTCTCGGCTGTAGGCTTCTTGCAGCACAGTGTGCGTATTGCTTAAGAGTGTTTGTTTTCATGCAAGACAAAGAGCCGCAAATCTTTGTGTCTGAGGGACAACAGCAATGTATGGACACTTCTCACCTCCAAATCCTTTTATCTTTGCTCCGTGTGCCGGAGCTCGGCTCTGAAAGGGACCGGTGCTCTGCCTCAGTGCAGCAGCAGAAAGGGGGGGATGCAGCGGGGGCCGAACCGGACACTGAACAGGCAAGCAGGGGAACATCTTCCACTCAGAAGGGGTCTCCTCATTTATAGTTGACTTGTTGCTTCCGCTCTGAGATTTCAGCGCATTTAGGCGCTTAAGAGCTTAAGGGCCAAACCAGAAATTGGGTTAATTCAGATTAGGCGAGTCTGTTGTCAGTGTAGAAAGACCACCAGGTTGTTTCACCAACCCACCTTTGCCACGTAATTCACTATGTAACAGTAAGGGCCTGGTTTTGTTATTCTGGGCTGGTGTGCGGTCCGGAGTGGAGATGGAAGAGCAACAGGACATCACACACATGATCTGCTCTCCGTATATGTAGCTGATCGTTAGATTATCACATTATGCAGCACTCAGCTCCGCGCTGGAACATGCAAAAGAAGCAGAAGACACTGGCGTAGCGCAGACTGCATATAGACTGAATTTGTAATATGAGGATGTAATAGGTGCATAATCACACGCCTCCAGTTTGATTTATGACAGCATAGGTTTTCATTTCCTTTTTTATCAGCCTAGCATGGCAGCCATGGTGTCTGGATCATCTTTCACTCCGTGGAAAATAAGCATCGATAAACTGCTCCTGGGCTGATGTGAACTTCCTATGTCTGTTGTGTCCTCAAAGCATGGCCTTCAAGTCTTTTGTTTGGTAAGCTATAGAAATAACGAGAGTTTCAGATGATTTTTCCGGGCAGAAAATATGCTCTTAATTTTTTCTTCACCTAAGCATAAGGCAGCAAATATGCGCACGTTTTGGTGTGAGACAATGGTTAGGCCTTTGTAACGTGAGCTCACTGCACCAAGAAGCGGCGTGTCAGAGTGCTGACAGCTAAAAAGATGGAGGAAGAGAGTGAACGACAGGTAAAGGGGAAAAATACACTTTTAGCATTCAGCTGAATTAGCTATGAGCTTTCTGGTTGAGGTGAGAGTGAGTGCAGACATATTTGTGGAAGCTCTGTGTGGCAGCGTGCTCTGTACAAGCCTGACAGAAAGGCCATTTGGGACGTCTTTTCATTCGTCCAGAGAGAGGCTCCCCCACTGGGCACAGGACTGCTTGCCTTGTGAGCCACACAGAGCAGGGACAGAGAGGTAAACAAGGCTCTCAGAGTGTATTACATAGACTCGTGAAGAAAGAATAAATGTTAAATAATTCACTCCTCTAAGAAAATTAAAAAAAAAAAGTTTTCCCCAAGTTAAGAAACTCCTAGAAAACACAAAGATCCTTTGTGTCGCTTTGCATTTTTAATGAGACCAGTGACAGATTTTTGTGGGGGTGGTTCACAGACAAAGTACAATGAGTTTATGACAAGTTTCTATGTTGTGCTCATTCTTTGTGATTGTGTAAGGTTTTTCCTCTAATTTCTTTATTTCAAGGGTCACAACATGACATTGGATGCATGTTTTTTGTATGGATTTTTAAAAGAAAGTCATGCAAATCACAGCATTTTGTCTTTCAGGATGCAGTTATTTTTATGTGATTTGGGGCATTTTATAGCACAAAATATTCAGTGAAATCAAGAAGTGGGAGTTGTTTTGTTAAATACTAAAAGGCTGTTTTAGCCTTATCTCAACACAAAGAGTATTGCAAATGAACGCACGGCAGACTTTTCCATTATGAACTCAAAATGGAAAAGACCTGCAGCCCTATGCATTATTTTTAGCGTTAGTTTGACTTTCCTGAAGGTATTCTGATATTTTTGGCTAGTTTGTAATATTTAAATGATGCCAGCCAGCCATTGGTCAGGAGAAAATCAAGTTACAAAAGTAAAAGAAGGAAAACTGGTTTTCAATTGACACGAATGTTTTTACATTGACAATTACAGCCCCATCTATAGGAACATTGGAGATGTCTGGGGAAGTGTAAATATCTTCCTTGTCAACTCTCTGCCTGCCCGCTCAGAGGTTAAAATTCCTCCGACTGCTCCGCATGCATGTGGCCATTAGTATGCACGCCTGTGCACAGACAAGACTCCTTACCTCGTACAGGTGGGTGGAGTAAATATTAGCTTTTGGACTGAACATGGCCACCCTCAGATATTTAAAGACGGAATTTGAGAGGCTTTCTTTTTTCTATTGGCAGGCTGCTCCAAACCAGCGGCAGACAGCTTGGTTACATTCAACAAACAAGTAACCATCGACTCCAGCCTGTATTTTGTACTGCAGTCTGTTTTGGACTTGGGGAAGGAGGGCGCTGGGTTCACTTTGCTTGCAAACAAACTGGACTTAGCAGGAGTTTGCTGCTTCGCTTGCTACGACTGACTGCTGTCTGATTATATAGCAAGAGTTATGTCCTCAGGGCTTGCAGCTCATTTCTTTGCCCTAAAACTGAAGGTTCTACACATCTAACAGCCTATGTGGCAGCATGGCATGTGTTGTGGGCCTCTCCCTACACTGGAGACGGATGAAGAGACAGAAAGCAGTGAACTCCTGGTCAGCTGGAGGCCGCAAGTATGCAGGAAATTAGACCTTAAAGGACTGTAAGCGAGCCCTGTCACATTTTCCGTATCATGTCCCTGCAGGAAGCTCCTTATACATTTTTTTAAATAACACCAGTAAAAAAAAAAAAAAACGACAACATTTTTTCTAGGTTTTGCATGGCAAAAATTACACAAAAATAACTTTGTTAAGTAACATGGTGCTGGAGTCTGGGATCATGTTGGGATCATTTTCTTTACCATTAAGATAAGGCTATGGGACTATGGGACTATTAAAACAAGCACCTTCCATATTCTATGCGAAGTGGCTCAGGGATGCCAGCATTTTGGCTAGTTTGAGGTTTGGAACCCCCCATAAATGCTCTTTAGCGATTGGCTTCTTTTGGCTGGCAGGAAGTTGTTTACAATGTGGAAATAAGGGATGTGTCTTGGTGGCTAAGACAGTTTTTTTTCTTGACTTTTTTTTTTGGTTTCTGGTTGCCAAAAGAGTTCTTTCATCAGGGAACTTGCTTTAAACCTGCTTTAAACAGAATGCTTGAGTTGTTGGTTTGAGTGTGTTTTAGTGGCTTTTCAGTCCAGCGTTTTGTCTGTCTGAGACACTTGGCAGAGGGGTTACTGTCCCATTTGAGGATTTAGTTTGTCTGATTACCGTACTTACTAATTTAAAGTCAGAGGGATGTATCCTACTTGAAAACGAATGTGCTTTTAATAGCCACCCGGCACCAGATAAGTGCTGGACAATGGATGAATGGATGGATATTTCTATTGATTTATTAATAGTTTTATCAATTATTTCTTTAAAAACCAGCATTGGTGGTCTGTTTTTTTTGTCTATCATACCTCATTTTGGACGGACGAGAGGAAATCTGTGTAACGCTGCGTTCCTCCTCTGTCTGTCCTTGAGTGGTACAAGCTGAAAGAATCATTCATTCATGTCCAGCTGCCAGTCACTTCTCTGTCCTCACCACAGCCTCAGGGACTTTTGCACAATGCTCTGAGGTTTATGTGCAGAAATGTGGGAGCAATACATAGAAAACGAGAAAAGCTACGACATGTGCGCTGCTTTGTGTTTCTGGAGGGTCCTCCACCACTCATTGTTGTCCACGTAACATTTCCCCCTCTGTGTCGTTTCTTTGAGTCCGTCCTCTGATGTGCCACCTGAACTGCTTCTTAAATGTCTTTTATGGACTGCGTTAGCTCAGCGGTCATGGCAGGACTGGAGTGGACTCTCTCACGTTAATGTAGATGTTAACAGCTTGTGGTCACAAGCGGCTCGTGTGGTTTTGCTGTTTGAGTTGACACACTCACTGGAGCTGTGTGGAAGCTCTGAATCCCAGAAGAAGGAGACAGAGTAACTTTTCTGTGTAATGTTTATATACTAACAAGATTTGCTGGAAGCCTGTCGTAGGGCTCATGTTCAAAACCTTTGCTTTTTGAAGGAAGCAGGTTAAATGCATGTTAACTGAACATCCTTTGAAGAATAAATCAGTAGTCATTGGTGTGGTTGATTTTTGTTTGTGTTGTTGTCTTCTATAAAATTTACACCAGAAACACACACTGAAATTGCATCACTTAGAAGAACTGAGGAAACCCGTCACTACCGCCAAAGCTTAATATATGTATATATATGTCACTTCTACTCTCCAGGGAGAGTAGTAAGAATAGCGCTCGTAGGATGGTGTTACCAGGAGTCACTAACTGCTATCTAATAAACGCCCACGCCCACAAAGCTCCATTTCTTTAGCAGTCCTCTGATTGGTGATGCATTATAGTATGATATTAGTCAGATTCTGTATTTATGCCCTTAGTACAAAAAAATAAAATAAATAAATAATCTCCAAAGCTGCTGACACTGCAAACGTGTTCTCATGTAAATGTATATCTACTCTATATATAGAGCAAAGTTTCTGGGCCTGCTGTAAACAGATGACTGTAAGTCTGTGTGAGTTTGTGGTTCAGGTCTGTTAAATCCAGTCTGTCTGTGTCTCTCATCTCTGCAGGAGTCGGAAGATCCAGATCCGGAACATTCCCCCTCATCTACAGTGGGAGGTCAGTTGTTTGTATGTGGGTCTATGTATGTGTGTGTGTGTGTGTATGTGTGTGTGTGTGTGTGTGTGTGTGTGTGTGTGTGTGTGTGAGACAGTGATGCCCAGGTAAACAGCACCAGGCAGCACATAAACCAATTTCCTGATAATGAGTCACCAGCCTTTTAGTCTTAAGTGTTTATGTGCATGTCTGCATGTCTGTACATGTGTGTGGGTGACCCTGCCTTTTGTCAACATCTGTAACCTTGCAGGGGTTTGCTCTTACTTGGTTTTCTCTGAATGAGGGAGCTGGCGTCATTCCTGCTTCTATTTGGGTTTATATCCTAATGTTTTGCCTTGAATTAAAACTGTCCGCATTAATAGAGCTAAACCATTTCTTCCCGTAAACTTAATTAAATAATTTAACATTGAACGAAACAGCACATTAAAAATAAATAATTTGGCTGGACAGAAAATCTTTTAAAAGGAACTTGAAACATCAACATTTTATTTTTCTCAGTAAGTGATATTGAGGGAATGGATACATCTGGTGCATTCGCCCCACCATTTAAGTTAGAGACGTTTAGCTCCAGTCAGTTAGCATAAAGCTAACATTCATTAAACAGAAATGAACAGAAAAATAAAGAATTTGAAATACAGTGTTTTGAACTAATACACTGAATAGAATGTATTGTTTTATTATATTATCAGTCAGATCCACTTCTTCCTCTTTTTCTCCAATCTCAATCGCTCACTTGTGTGTTGTGTGATGTGGTTGGTGTATGTTCGTATATTATACATTGCAAAGCCAACTGTTTGTCCATGCATCATGAGAGCAATAATCCAGCAAGTTTGGAGAAAATGAATTTGCCAAAATGCATGGTGCATGGTGCACCTTATAACTACTGGGTTGTAGAAAATATGTGTATGACTGCCTCAGATGTTTGTAGCAGACCTGGAATATTGGCAGGCCTGTTTAGCACCTGGAGCCCTTTACTTTGTGGCCATGCTGGTGTGGTATGTGCTGACTGTGGTTTAGCATCATCCTGCCAAAATAAATATGACCTTCCCTGAAATGATGCCATCAGAGTGGCAGCAAATTGTATTGTATTGCTTCAAACCTGAGGATTCCTTCCCACATATCCCGATTATCCACAGCATTTGCACAGGTCTGTTGCACCCCTACACCAGCATTGATGTTGCTTTATGAACTGAGAACAGATTTTAAAAAAAGCATGGTGCTTCTCCTCTTAAGTCAGGAAGATGTGACACCCATGATTACCCCCCCCAAAAAAATTAGAAACAACAGGAGTCTGTTTTACTTGGCCTCGGTCCATCCTAAATGAGCCTAAAGAGGGCAGTTCTGTCCATGAAAAATGCTACTTTATGATATGTAAAATAGAGTTTGAATTTGGATGTGTTGCATATATTTCAGTTTTTTAAAAAGCCTGGTGTATTGTATTTGTACCACGATCAAGTCAACAAACGCATATAAGTTGTTGAAGCCATTTGTAAATGAATCTTTCAAATGTTCGTATATATTTCACATGGCATTTGAAAACAGGTTGCATTAGTTCATCCCTCATCCCCCACAATCTCCAGGCAATTTTTTGCGAGCATTGAAAATAGTGTTGCATATAAATGTAGCATTAGTCTTTCCAAGCTTCGACGATTGACGTATTTGTTGTCCTTCCCGTTTTACTGGAGCTCATGACATCTGTGATACACATCTGTCACTGCTATAACCTTTAGCTGTACTCCCAGAAGCCGTTCTTACAGGCAAGTCCGCGCAGGCCGCCACTTGACTCGCATTGCTTCTTATCCAGAAGACAGTCAGTTATCCAGGAAAAGTTACGCTTTTCCACTGTTAGAGGCTGGGCATGTTTAGAAAAGCATTTAGCGGCACCTGTTTTCCAGTTGAGTACCATGAAGGGGCTGGTAAATGATTGTGTAATTACAGAGAGTGGGGTTAGAAGTTATGACCCAGGTTTGGATTTCCAATAATCTGCTTTGCTTTGAAGTTTCAATTGAACTCCAGCTCTCTTTTGCGTTTCCACTCGCTACATTCCCACTCAGAAATTCCCCCACATAAACTGTAATGGCAACAACGGATATGCAAGACAGGCTGCTGTGTCTGCCTCTGATTTAAGCTCTCTCTTCTCCCACAGGTTTTGGACGGCCTTCTTGCTCAGTATGGTACTGTAGAGAACGTGGAACAAGGTACGGAACTCCTCTCCCTGTTCGCCACATGTGACTTCTTCAGTTCGCTCCAACTTTCAAGTGCATATGTGTCTATTTGATATCATAGTCAAACCTCCCAGTGTGAGTCAAGCGTCCCTGTGTGACTCCTCTCCCTCATTGTCATCATCCCACATAGTCATTATCTAAACATAACCCATTTCTGCATGTGAATCAACCTTTATCATTTGGGTTTATCTTCGTCTGTGTGTAGAATTTTAACCTAAAAACACAAGCGTGTGAGTGATGTGCAGCGTCTGTAATCAGCGATGGCTGCCGTCGCGGGTCCTGGCGGCCTCAGCGTATGGATTGAAGTAGGCAGACATGGCAGACATCCAGCTGTAACGCGTCTGTGTGTGTTTAGGCCGATTCATGTTTTGATGTCGCTTCTCTTTTGATGAGGGGGGTGGGCATTACACTGAAGGCGCCTGCAGTGAGGCTTTTGCTCTGTCTGCTGGGGGGCGAGTAAGTGTGTGTGCGCACACAAGTGAGTCAACAGCGGAGCCAAGTAGTAAGAGACACACGGCAGGACACACACCTACACGGAATCCAAACGTTGGCACGCGCACGCCGTGTCTCTATATGCGTCAAAACGGCCAAGACCACCCAATGCACTCAGGACAGGTGCTAAAAGAGAGCCCAGCAGAGAAATTATCCCAGAAGCTGCTTTAAAACAGCCGACTTAACTACCAAACTGCAGCATAGCGTCCCCCCCCCCTCTCATAGCCACTGCTCTGCTCTTCAGACATCACCAGTTGCCACAAATGATCAATGCAGCCACCTCACTTATCTGCGGTCGCTCGTCCATCTTCCCATCTCACCGCCTCATGTCATTCGTCCCCGCCCGATGCCATGTGCTCTGGTTTGAGTTTTTGGAGAGGTTCCATGGTCGTGTGTGGTATGGTGGAGCTTCCCTGTGGTGGGGCAGGGCAGGGCGGAGCGGGGCAGAGCTGGCTGTGAGCGCCGGTGGCAGGCACCGCGCCAGGCTCTGCCCACTCAGCCTCTGGAAGCCAGCTGGACACCCTCACTGGACTTAACCCTTCCAAAGTTACAGATTTTCATTTTTGCTCTCTTAGCGATCTCCATTACATTTGATGTGGCTAACAAGAATTATATCCCACGCAAAATCATTTTCACTACTTTTATTGGTCTTTACTCTGCCCACTTTGGCAACTGTCCTTACAAAAAAGAAAGCCCAATAACAAATGACGAAATGATTCTTGTACCACAAGTATTTCTCATGTAAAGCCCTTTTTTGCTAATCAGATCTTGGTGGTCCCGAGCCTAAATTCTACACAATCTGTTATTTGAAGACTGAAAATATCAGCGTTATTTATTGCTTTGTGTTATTTTTTATTATGAACCAGTCAGTGTTGCATCTGCTGTACAGCTGATCCTATAACTGACTTCACAGCACAGCTCAGCCTTCAAAAGCATGCATCGGTTCATCGTTATTCTCTTTATTCTCTGTGCTCGAAACAACGGGACTCCAGATCATGCCACGGTGCATCTTATTTGTCTGCTTGACTGCATTTGATCAGCGATTACTTGCTTTGTTTGTGCTGTTATGTCAAACTTAAATCCGTTTTCGGACAAGTGGCGGAGAGGCTATTGTGTTAAGTAGCTCCTGTCTGTAGGGGAAGCAGCAGGGTCTGGAGAGGAGCCAGTGTGATGATGGCGCTAATGGATTCGCACAGACAAGCAGCTCTTTAGGTCGCCATGGGAACCTGGACGCGTGTCCCACTCACCTACAGCGGCGACAAAGGCCTCTTCTGTGCGCTTGTAAACCTTTGTGTACTGTAGCTGCTGTTTGTTTTTTCACCTCTCCTCCCTTTTTTCCATGTCTTGTCTCACAGTGAACACTGATACAGAAACAGCAGTGGTGAATGTTACATACGCAACCAAGGAGGAAGCTAAAGTGTAAGCAGCACAAATAATGACACTGATGAACCAAGTGCCAAGAGTAAGACTCATGATAGACTTACACAGACAGGATGCTGTGATGGGGGAATATACTGTGTTTATTTATTCATATTTTGGAAATATATTTGATATATATATGAATGCCTCCTTGACAATAAGGGGAATAATTTCCTTCAAAACATCTGATTTCAATGTGAATTTCTTTAAACACAGAATTTTGTCATCTGCATTGTTGATGCAAAAGTAAACTGGCTGTATTTAAAGATGCTTTTTAAAAACTCAGCTATCCATCCAAATGTTGCAGTAACAAATAGCTTACCTAGATACCCTCTGTTACTTTGGTCAGTTATTCATAGAATTAGTTTGAACTGTTTTCAGAAGTTTTTAAAAACCTCTGGACACACGTTGTTCTTTCTGCTGCTGCTTGTTTAGTGTATTTCTGACCTCACCCTACATTCTGACATCAGAACTTCTCAGACTTCTTATGATTAAAAACATATGTCATTGTTATCTGTTTATCTGTTTCAAAAAATTCCAAATACACGTTTTTAGCATCAATAAGGACACAAATATATCAGGGCCTTAAGATACTAGCCAGGGCTTAAAAATCAATAGTGGCACTCTCTTTATCTCACGAGTGTATACTTATATCTTTACATCAATTCAGTTTAGTACCAGTTCAGTCAGGTGCCAGAGGGATCCCTCTGGCACCTGACACTTCCTGCTCCTTCTCTTTCACCACCCAGAGCCATTGAGAAGCTGACAGGACACCAGTTTGACGACTACTCCTTCAAGGTGTCATATATCATGGACATCGATGCTGCTCCACCCGTCCAGGGTCCCCGCACGCGGCGCAGTGGTCGATCTTCCCGGGACCAGGGCGCCTCTCAGCCTGGACCATCCGGAGGCTTCAGTTCACCGCGCCCCAGACAACAAGACTTCCCCCTGCGTATGCTCGTGCCTACTCAGTTTGTGGGAGCCATCATCGGCAAGGAGGGCCTCACCATCAAGAACGTCACCAAACAGACACAGTCCAAGTAAGCTTTGCTCACATTGCCACTCAAGTTTTCTGTTATAAAATGTTTGTTCTTTGTTTTGCTTTATTATCCGTTGAAATAAGATATTGTGTAGTTAAATCTAAAGTGCAGAAAAGATTAGTCCAGTCAATTAACAGAATGGAGATTTCTTATCTTGCTTATCACAACTCCTGGTTTTGTAAGGCACTTTTTGACAGGGATCATTTTCATTTATCATACACTGCAATCTTGACTTGCATCTTCCAGAGTGGACATTCACCGGAAGGAAAATGCAGGTGCAGCAGAAAAACCCATCACCATCCACTCAACACCCGAGGGCTGCTCCTCCGCCTGTCGCATGATCCTGGACATCATGCAGAAGGAGGCCAACGAGACCAAGACGTGAGTGGCTGGCGTCCTCAGGCCCAAACATACGTCTCCTCATTCATAAACAACACATCAGTGCTTACGTAAATGTTCTCGTGCAGATCCTTTACTCATACAATCCCACAGGAGGATTAGTCACAATGCCTGTAAGGCCATAATCTTATCCTTTGACCTGCATGCACACCTTTTAATCTCACTGTGCATTAGGTAGCCTGGACCACTGACATGGTAAACACGGTGCACATATTCAGATAAGCTGGCACGTGATCACAGCCTAGTATTTAAGAGACAAGACCAACAGGACCAATGGTGCTCGACAATAACGTCTGCCGATAGAAATTACAAGAAACACACATTTTTGTGTTTATTTCTTAAACATGCAGGAACAAAAGTTCAAGGAACAAAAGTGCTCATACCAATGACTGACTGCGAAGCTCTTTGAAATTGTACAAACTCTGGTCAAGTGGAAGATGAGTCCAGCATTCACTGTAGGGACCCCTTTGACAAGATGTATAGCAGAATTCAAATTTGTATTGGAACTGCCTTTGTCCAAAAGGTTAAATCTGCATATCAGCACCGCTGAAGCTGAGAGCTTCTTGCCCTTTTCTTGAAGATGTGGTGAAGACTAGAATTGACAATGTATTTACATGTTCCACACAACTCCATGACACAAGCGAACACTCGTCAAGCTTAAAAAAAAAAAAAAAACTATTCCTGTCTAACTTGAATGTACTTTTTGGAAGTTGCGTTTGTGAAAAGTGTCTAACAAACAAGAATCTCATCACCTTATTTATTTAGTCAGATCAGTAATCCTGCTGTCAGGAGTCATAATGACGTCCACACCTCTGTGGTGTGTTGACTGAACGCCGTCGCCCCACCCGACTGCCACACCCGCAGGCTTGAAACTGTCGCCCTGGTTGCCCTCCACCCTGTAATTTTACCCATTCTACAACCGCTGAAACCAAAACCACAAAACTTTGCCGCTAACCCCCCCCCCCCCATGCCCCACCCCCCTAAAGTTCATCCCGAACTAATTTCCCCCTGCTGGATAAATATATATGTGTATATTTACAGAAAGCAGCATGCTCTTGACTTGCCACCCCCTCCCCTATACACATCTACACCCTCACCCACATGTGGAGGACCCAACCCAAAAGAAACCCCCGGCGTCTGGTTGTCCTCCACCACAACCTTAATCCACCTTCACACCCTGTAATTGCCACACAAAGCAGAAATGTAGATAAATCTGAAATGACATTTTCCTTTGATTAACTATCAATATATAATCTGTACACATTAACCATGCCGTTGGTATGAATACTTGTATTCAGTGTACAAGAGAAATTAATCATTTATTACAAAGAAATATCTATCATTTTCAGCTTTTAGTGAATGTAGCTTTATTTGTTTATCTTTGTTTTTTTTAACAAGATAAAAAGTTAGAAATGTAAAAAAACACACACACACGACAACATTTTTAATGTTAATACCAAAAATGGATGCGAACTTAAACGTTAGTGTTTACAAATGTGTAGAATATTTTGTCAAGTATGTCAAGGCATTTTCAACCAGAAAACTTTCTGAATCAAATATTTTGAGTTGTCTCCATCTTCAAAGATTTCAGATCTTTGTTAAAGAAACCAGTTTTTCTTACTCATTTGTCCCCACACAATCCCCCATGGTCATGAAAATTTGACTCCATTAAGTCTAACAACAGAACATGTGACTCACCTACCAAATATATTTTTATAAAAATCTGTTTTTCCTTCAAAAATGTTTTTTAATCTACAAGCCTCAACGGCCGGAGTGGAGGGCTTCGTTACAGACATGCAGCATGATTCAGAGCTTTATGTGTCCTTCTAAATTATTTTTTAAATTACGTTCATGAAAATGGTTCAGCAGTTTTATCATAATGTTTTTGTCTTCTTACTTGAAATTGCATTCAGTTTATGCGGTTTTCTCCTAAAATTATCTTTGGGAATTATACACTCTAGTTAATATAACAATTCTATTGATGATTTTATTTTTTAATGATTGAAAAAGCAAGATTTGCTGAAAGAGACTTTGAGACATTACAGCATTTTTCTTTCCATCGCTTCATAACATTCTCAATCCAGTTTCAGCGATAACTGCTGGAACTTGTCCACACTTGGTGTGTACAAAGTCATGTGACCTATCTCGTGTGTCTGTGTGTGTTTCTGTGTGTGCAGGACAGAGGATATCCCTCTGAAAATCCTTGCCCACAACAGCCTCGTGGGTCGGCTGATTGGGAAAGAGGGCCGCAACCTGAAGAAGATCGAGGAGGAGACAGGGACCAAGATAACCATCTCCTCGTAGGTGTTCTTTTGTTGGATGCTCTTACTCTGAGGCGTGTGCTTGCCTGGTTGTCTCGGGATGATTTCTTATGCAAAGATTTCGATCCCTGCTAATTTAACCAATTGAAAAACAACAGACTCTTTTGGCCTTCTTCCTGCCACGCCCTCCTTCCTGCGTGCTTGTTAACCTCTCAGCCTGTGGTTTCACTTAACTGAGTTGTTGGAGAGCTAATGTGAAGAGTTGATTACACATCCTCCTCTGCAGTACATGATATAAGAGAAGAGGTGATTACACCCCATTTAACTGACTGTGCTCACCAGCCTTCATTCGTTTGGAGCTAATAAATTGCTCTGTTTCTGTGAGCTCTGAGGACATAATGAGTCTTCAGAAAGAGACATTGCTGTGGAGACGGAGCAGGAGAGAGTCCCTTTGGAAAAAAATAAATAATTTACACATTCAGATCTGAGGTTTCTGTGAAATCATTTATAGAGATTACACGGTCTTTTTCAAAGACCAAGAGATTTATCCATTTGCGTAACGTTTAGGGGAAACGGCTTATGGGATGATCAAGATGATCAATCATTGATTTGAGTGCTTCTCAATTCAAAATTGTTTGTCTTAGTTTTTCTCTGTACTACTTCTGTACTCACAGAAGGTGAGCATGAAAAAGGTAGATTAAAGGGAGAATTAAATTCTCTGGGAAAGATATCATCACTTCAGGTTTGACATGTTTCTTCCTCTGAGTGCTTTATTTTTTGTATTAATAATGAAATCTAAAATATAGGATTCAGCTCTTTCCAAATGCCTCACTGCAGGGATTTTTGTTGTGATGGACAAATTCCTTTTATCTGTATTCTCAACCTGCTGCTGTTACCATTCTGACCTTGGCCGTGTTTTAACACATTGTACACAAAAAGGTGAGTTTGTTCGTCATGCCGAGCACTCAGTTTGGGCAGAGTCTTCCAAAATGTCTTCTAGATGTGTCTGTAGACGAGCTTTGAAAACAAAATAGTTCTGTTAATGTCACCAGGGTTATCTTAGTTATGGCTAGTGGACTGCAAATCATCACATGTGCGAATTTCTAACTTGTAAATAGTGCTTGCCCCATCATCTAAGTTTCACTTGCTCTGCTAAGGCTGCAATATTTCAGACTTGGGCCTTGTAATGAGCCTCAAAACTTCCAAAATATAAATGTGACATCCAAACCAGCATTTAATGGACTCATAGAACGAGTGAATGCACAGGATGTGCCAGCCAGCTGCTTTCCAAAGAGACTCCTGCGCTTCTGAGAAATCCTGTGGGCAGAATGTGAGTCTCTGTTAGAGTATTTGTCTACAGAGTGCTTACATTTGTGTGTTTGTTTGCGTGTGGGATCTCCCTTACAGGCTACAAGACTTAACCATTTACAATCCTGAGAGGACCATCACGGTGAAGGGCAGCGTGGAGGCTTGTTGTAAAGCCGAGGTGGAGATCATGAAGAAGCTGAGGGAAGCATACGAGAACGATATTGCTGCTATAAATGTGAGTTTACCATCTGCAGGCCGCTTGATTGTTCGCCAGCGTGCGCTTTGTGTGCGGGTATGACTCACAGACCTGACAGGTGAGCAACGGAGAGGAACGATGACAAACAGCAGGATAATATCGTCTTCCCAGTCAGCGCCTTGCATTAGTAAGGCCGGCTCGGTAAACGGATAACGGTAAACGATCGCTGAACAGCTCATCAGTGAGTCGAGTGTTTGAGCGCGTGAATGTGTGTGTCTGCGTAGCTTCTGACTCATGCCCACTTCCCTGCTGTGCGTGTGTCTGTGTTCCTGCCGTAACACACTGCCTTTCCCAGCATCCATCTGATATCTGGAGGCTGCTCTTTCACCCAGCTCCTCTTTCACACCGCCTGATGACATCAGCCGCGCTGCAGTTTCTGAGGTCAACTTAAGACGAGGAGAAGCAGCGAGGATTTCACACACGCGCTCTGCGTAGCGCTGCCGATAAGCCAAGAACCACCGTATTAACAGTGGTGATGCTCATTAAGCGTGTGAGCTTTAACTTAAGTTAGAAAAACAGCATCTAGTGACTGCTTATTGAGTAGGTCTATGGTTTTTATAGGGGGTTACTGCTATATGGGCAGATTTGCTGAATATTTTTTTTCCCTCATTGGCTCGGAAACAATAATCAAGAAGCGTCTCATAGGATTGAGTTGAAATTGCGGTGGTTCTTGTGCGAGCGCTCCTGGAACCTGCCAGGTTGAGCATGGGCTCTACAGAAAGCGGTTAGGGCCATCTAGCGTGACACTGCAGATATTACACAAGGTTTTGCGGAGATCAAAGGACTCAGAGGAGGAAAGTTTAGTCTCACACACAAAGACAAAACTCTGAAAAGCTGACATTATCTTTTCGAGAGAAGTGCAGAAACGCAAGATTTTTATGAGCCCAGATAAATATGATTGTGATATAACTCTTTGGTTTTAAATAGTTAATATAGATCTATTTTATTCTTAAGATGTAGGCAAGTTTTCTAAAAACCCATCGGTTCATGTGCTGATGCTGCCTGGACCTGGGCATCTCTTTGTGTGTGTGTGTGTTTTTCTTTTCCTGGTTAAGTAAAGGTTACAAACATTTGCAATTGTGTGTGTTTTTTAATACGGCCTGTCCTGGAGAGAAACAAATGCTATAGAAGTGAGACTGTAGAATAATTCCAAATAGATATTTTATACATGCATCTCTTTAGCCGGTATAAGTTGTAAGGATGAATGTTATTTATGTTAAAACATGAGGAGAGTAAGTTTGCAGAAACACAAGACTTTGGCTGAGATGTTCTCATTTTTTTTACCTAAAAGCTTTTATTAGATGTATGTCCTATCCTCAGTCAATTGTTGTTTTTACTTTTCATGTGTCACACTGACTTATTTACATTTTTAAAATCATAACTTTTGTCTGCCGTTTCATCAGCCATTTTATAAGTTTTTATGATTATCAGAACAGAAAAGATATCTATTTTCTTTTTTATTTAAAAAAATATGTTCAAATTTATCCACCAATGTGATCATTTGTGTTTTCTCTCGTTTTTTTCATCACCTATAGTAGTAGAGGCAGCTATTTTTCTAAGTTGTGTGTATATAGCTGGGAGCTTTCAGCACGGACATGTGGGGATGTAAAGCGCCGGTTGTGAATTGAGCCCCCACATTCTCCTTTAAAAAAACAAAACAAAGCAAAACATAAGGCAGTGTTCACCTCATTTGAAGCGGTCAGATTTTTTGTGATTGTTCTCAGGACTAAACATGGCCTCCCCTCTGCACAGCAACAGGCCAACCTGATCCCAGGCTTGAACCTGAACGCTCTGGGCATCTTCTCCTCTGGTCTGCCGGTGCTGCCCCCTGCTGCTGGACCACGAGGTGCAGTGCCCCCTGTAGCACCAGCAGGATACAACCCATTCTTAGTGAGTCCTTTGTTCAGTTTTTTTCTCTCTCTCTCTCTCTCCCCCCCTTCCCCAAACTTATTTCGGTAAAAGGTTTCAGGGGGAAAATGTTGGCGCTGGTTTTGCCCACACTACAGCTCGGATTAGTCTCGACTTGAAGCAATTTGTTTTCCAGCCCGCGGTAAACCAGGTTCCCCCCGAAGAGCTTATTAAAAAAACAATACAGTGTTGACTCAGGTCTTCCTAAATGATGTAGTGCCTGGTATGAAAGGGAGCAGAATTCCCCCATCCTCCTCTGGGATGAGTCAGTTTGTCTGTTAAACAAAGTCTACGCTCGGCGCCTGACGCGGGCGCGTCTAAGAGGCATGAGACACTGTATTAGAATGCATCCGTGTGCCTCGTAGTCAAGAAGATCAGTCTGTGATTCACAGTGAGTGTCTGCCTTAGAATTCCCCCACCGTAATGAGCTGTGACTGTCCGTGTGCCCTTTAAACGTGTGTGTTTGTGTGCCATCTGATCCGACTGTTTGTCACTACACTTTCAGAGCCACTCTTCACATATCGGTGGCCTGTACGGGGTTCCTCCAGCAAGTGCCATCCCTCACCAGCACTCAGTATGTTCCCTTTAATCTGCCGTACACTCAGGGGTTGCCTTGGTGATCAAAGATTTTCCACCAATGTCCTATTTGGTCTGGTTCAAGCGGAGTAATACGGAGGGAGAAAAGAAAAGAGAACAGAGTTAAATTCAAGGAAGTTCTATTCCTTGTTATAGAAAATGTGACAGTGTCAGTTTGTCATCAGAACATCACAAATATTTCTGGAAGGGGACCACGCAGCCCAGAGTTTTGACATGGCTCATAGAAATTGACTTTTTAGCCCTCAACTAATAAGGCAGTGCTCGACCTTAAAAGTGAATATTCCACTGAGGCTGTACTAGAATACCGTGTTTACCAAACTGAAAAGCCTGGACAGGAGCTTAATTTAAGCTTCCCCTGCATGTGGTGTGCTGCTTCTTAAGTGTCTGATTAATTAAAACAGTGTCATTTTAGATGTAACCACAGTGCATTGGCTTTTTTCCCCCCGTGTGGTTGTGTTTTCTTTCATACAGCAACAGGCTCCAGAACAGGAGGTTGTCTACCTCTATATTCCAACTCAGGCGGTCGGGGCCCTGATTGGGAAGAAGGGCCAGCACATCAAGCAACTTGCCCACTTTGCCGGAGCTTCCATCAAGGTGACTTTGTTTGTTTCATGAGTGCGTGGACTTCCAAGAGAGGTGGTGGTCAGAGTGGCCCCAATCTGCATGCGAGGTTAAGTTCACTGATATCATTTTCACCAGTCATCAGTTAGGTTTTCATTATTAAAAAGGGGGTTGACTCAGGAGCTGAGTGTGTCAGATGGAACCAGAAGCAATCCATTTTTAAACATTTTTTCAAATTTACACTCAAGATATGTAAATGTTGGATATATTTTAGAACAATTTCTAGATGATTCAATGTTTAAATTTAACCAAATCGATTCAGACTAGCAATGTGGATCTCACATGTTTCTGTTATCTCTCTATATGAACATCAGATTGCCCCAGCTGAGAGCCCAGATGTGACTGAGAGGATGGTTATCATTACTGGAACCCCAGAAGCCCAATTTAAGGTAAGACCACCGCGTGGTTTTAGGGTAAATGGCAAAGGATCACTGACGGTCTCCATCTCTCAAAGTCTGCCCTCTCTTGTATTCCAGGCCCAAGGTCGGATATTTGGGAAGCTGAAAGAGGAGAACTTCTTCTCAGCAAAGGAGGAGGTCAAACTAGAGACGCACATCAAGGTTCCCTCGACTGCAGCTGGCAGGGTCATCGGTAAAGGAGGCAAGACGGTGAGAAGATACTTGAAATGTGCCTATTTTGCAATGTTTTGACGTTTCAGACTCGGGTGATTATTTAGAAAAATTTTCGCTGATGTAATGATAACTGATTACACACAGATAACAGACGTCTTCATCAACATCCAGAGGATTTATACCCAGTAGTCATGGCAAAACGCTAATTATCAGCTCATGTTCTGTGTTTTAAATGTCGGCCCTTTGTGTGGCTTTATTCGAGCGTGTCCCAGTGCAGTGAACGTGATACCCCGACTGTCAATGAGTAATGTCTGTTTTGTGTGTGAGACTGGAGGTGAAATGCAAGGAGAGCTGTTGACCTCTGGACTCTGTATCCGCGTTTCAGGTAAACGAGCTGCAGAACCTTACGAGCGCAGAGGTGATCGTACCGCGGGACCAAACTCCTGATGAGAACGACGAGGTCTTTGTGAAAATCAGTGGCCATTTCTTTGCTAGCCAGGTACACACAAAGTAACCATCCGAGGCGTTTCCGGTCCTTTAGCTGAAACAGTTAACCACCGCATGCCGTAGAGAATAGTTGCATTTGACATTAGAGTTGTGGTAAAAAGAGCAGGCTAAGTCATAAAGTAGTAAAGGCAGCATGCTAATGAAGTACGCGTGTTTAACCTCCACCTGGAGCTGCCCACTGAGAACAAACAGTCCTGAGAGGACTTTTTATCATGCATCAGAAGTTATTATGTGTGGGGAAAATGGGTTTGCTGTTAAATACAGGAGTGTTTCAGTACTTCTTTTTAGTAACTCCTTCCATGTGTGTACGGCATCTTTAATGTAGAGAGTACACAAAACCGTTTGTGGGCTGTCAAACATTTCTGTGAAAGTTTACGCTCTGTAAACATCATGAACGTACTTTTTATGGGAATACCTCTTTTTAGAAAAATAAAACGTAAGACTTTTCCCAAAGACAAGCTGAGGCATATATTCAGAATTTAGACGGATATTAAATGACAAAGCCTTATTCCTTTTACCACTTTGTAGATATATGTGTGTTGCTGTCTTTGTTTTCGGATGCATTTTTTATACAGTGGGATTTAAAAGAACTTGAAACGTCCCTTTACGCTGATAATCAGTCTCATGGATACCTAATCCCTCCTACAGACTGCACAGAGGAAGATCCGGGAGATCATTCAACAGGTCAAACAGCAGGAACAGAAGCACCAGCAGGGCGCCGCCGTGTCACCTCACCACTCCAAGTGACCAGTGAAGTGGCTCCAGTGGGCACCAGCCAATGAATGTAGCCCTCCCAAATGGACAGAGACCTAACCAGACTACGGCCAAGGCCGAGGTGGACATGCAGGGCAGACCAGCAGCACCGGGATCAAAACCAAAGAACTTCGCAAGGGGGGAAACAAGTGAGAGCCAAAGGCTGAGGGCATTGTGTGCACTGCCAGCCCCGTGAGAGCAGATAGAGGGGGAGAAATCGAATGATACAATTAATTAAAAAGACCAAAAAAAAAATAAGAAAGGAAAAAAAAAGGAAAAAAATCGACATGTAAGGTGGAAATGTCAGAGAAATTTGGAACCGTTGTCTTATCAGATAGAAAAAGGTAAAACAGTAAATGGCATGTCGCCCTGCATAACGTTATCTCTTTAGTTGGACTAACATAGGCCTAACAATCAGATTGAACAGATGATTCAAGTTATTAACACAAACGTGTACAAGTGAGTGAGTGACAACGGACACCTCCTCTCACGAGCGTTTTCAGATATGTAGATTGTGAGATGAAATATCCACAGCAGTATTAATGCAGAGCAGCAAAGTATGATGATACACACTGAGAAAATGCACTGTTATGTTTCTATCCAAACGGCAGTACAGCTTTTAACGTCAAGCTTATTCCAGAGCCTGGCCTGGAACAGCCACAGAAAGCGATTCCTCTGGTTTTTAGTCATTAAAGGCCACTGAAATCAAAACAGGACCCCCCCCCTCTAAGTAAATACTGTATGGTGAATGGTTCTGAGTCTTTGTAAGAAGCCTGTGTGTGTGCCAACGCAAAAGATAACGTCCCTTTCAAATGTCTCTCACCATTCATATCCGTTGCTTTGCTCGCTTTTTTGTTTTTATTTTTTTGTATCGTTTCTTTTCTGCTAATTTCTGTCTCACTTTCTCATGGCTCTCTCATCTGGCATTGTGTTTTTATTAGGTTAAAGATATTTGTTGTCGAGAAACACTTTTTTTTTTTCCGTAGCCTTTTTGATACTTTGAACTGACTGCCACTTTTTGTTATGAGAGGTTAAACTCAACGGAGGGATTTTTTTCCCCCCAGCTGGTGTCGCTCTCCCATGCTGTACAGCAGTAAAAATGTCTAAACCCATCCTTGTGGTGATAGGAAAAAAAAAGAAAAAGTTCCCCTGACGATCAGAGAAAAAACCGACGTCTTAAAAAAAATGGTGCGCACATGCTAGTGAACAGGCAAACATATATGACAAATTATTATTATTATTATTTTTTTTTTTTGTTTGTTTGTTTGTGAACCACCGCACGCTCGGCCTTACGAGGATGTAACAAGGGCCACCGTGAGGCGTGAGCTAAGGGCCCAGAGAAGGGGAGGGAGGGGTGGGATTGGGGAAAATTGTGTGGGTGGGGGGGGGCAGTGAAAAGTTGTAGGGTTAGTTTAATTTGGGGGGGGTGGGGGGTATTAGAGAGGCACTGTATGACCTGTGGTACACACACAACCGCAAACGTGACCGCAGCCGCGTTTGGCTTTAACCCGTTCCCGTCAGGAGGCTTTCTAAAAATGGCATGACAGCTGTGAATGTACAATATGCAGCCTTTTTTAGAAAATGTCACCCCCTGCCTTGTCCAGCAGGCCGGCCCAGCAGCACACAACACGCAGATTGTCTTTCTCACACTCTTGCTCTTTTATGCGTAACTTTTTGTGAGTTTTATTTTTTTTTGTCTCTCCTTTTTTTGGGTGAGCCGGCCGCCCGCTCTGAGAGCACACTGGACATGCAGGTCCTGGTGTCCCACTGTGCTTTACTTTGGAGACCGTGGAAGCTCGTTGCCTTATTTTTGTCACCTCTCAGACATCACCCATCAGCTTCATCTTCCGGGCGCAAGGTTATTGCCAATACGCACAGCTTCCTCCGTGTGTGTCTGTGTGTGTGCGCGCGTGTGTCTGTATATATATATAAAAAAGAGAGAGTAATATTTATGAATCTATTTTTTCCTATTTTGTGATGAGAGCTATTGATAAGAAACTAAAAGAAAACAAAAGTCCTTTTCTTTTTTTCCTCAGTGGGACACTGCCATATTATTCTGAAGGGAAGTGTTTATTTTCTTGAAAACTAGACTATGAATAATATAATGAATAAAATCCTGAAAAAATAGGAGAGCAGGAAAGTGAACCACCACATTAACTTTGGTCAGGATGTGAACAGTGCGCATGTCAGTATTGTGATCTACCTCAGGCTTCAGGGTACCTCAGTCCAATCTTTCATTTCTCCTTTTTTCCACATTTTGTATGCCTTGTTAACTGATTATTTTGAGCGTTTTTAATTTTCTTTTTTATTGAAAAAATTAAGAAAAAGATCTACAGTAATCTCTACACTCTTCAGGTTCAGCCGACCAGTGAAATTTTTTAAACCGTAGTCAACTCCGTTGGACTGTGTTTGCCTGGACGCCATACAATCTTTTAATAACACATCAAAGGATTTCCAGTTTGCTAAAAAAAAAAAGGAAATGAAACGCAGGATCTAAGAGGTACATCCTGCCTAATGTGGTTCTGAATGTGGATGTTGTGTACTGATTTCACCATCAGAAAATGACGAGAAGACACAAATCAGTCGATAGAATCAGAGACGAACCAACTGTACCTCCTGTTTTACCCAGCTGTACATCCAGGTATTTTTTTCCTCAGACTTTGAAAGAAAATTTATGATGTTTATTCACTTGTTGGAGAAAAAAAAAAGATTTTTATTACAACCCAAACTTAACTTACCAGCTCTATTTGATAATTGCATATTCTGGGGTTGATTTAATAAAAACACAAAGCTGCAAAAATACACTGACAGGACTTTGGAACGTGGTGTACACCCTGGTTTTCTGTGTAGAATGTAGAACACTTCTAGTCGTTGAACTGTCACTGTGTACGCCAAAAAAAAAAACAACAACAACAAAACTGTATATCTGTAAACATGTATAATAGTCACACATAAATGCATCGTTTTCTGTCTCTCTCTATAACACCAGTCTGCCCCGGCCCCAGTGGGAAACCTTAGAGTGCTGCATCTTCCCTCAAACTGACCTCTAAATGTTTTTCCCACCAGTCTGCCGACTAAAACTCTCTTTTGCTGTACATTCAGAATTACCTCTGAATCCGAGGCTGACTTTAGTTACACAAAGCCGAGGCAGGGCAAAGGAATTAATTGAATCAACGAATGGTTTAGTGAAAGTTAGCGTTCGTCTTTGGAGTTCTCGTAACTGTTTTTTACTTTTAGAGGGCAGCCTTTTGTCATCAGTTGAGGTAAATCATTTCTCGTCCCAGTGAACACAGACTAGCAGTGCTAATAACAAAAAACAAAGGTCTATCATACTCACACAATGCCTGAGGCTGCCGCAGCAAGCCTCCCCACAACCGGTACAGTACCTCATACTGATGATGATGGCTCACCAGGACCCACTCAGTACCCTGACCTTACCCATGTCAATGCAGTACGGTGCTTCTATTCGGACCCATGACTCCTGTGGTGGTCTGCATCACCTACCCTTAGCGTGCGTTGGAGAAAATGGCTTTTCATGGTAGCACTGAAAAAGAAAGCGTACTATGTCAATTCATCTTTTTTTTTTTACCCCCCTGACCTTTTGGATTATTTCATTTCTTGTAGAGCAGTTTTAAAGTGTTCATGCTTTGCAGAGGACTCCTAAAACCTCTGTTTCTCTTGTGTTTTTGTTTTATTTTGCTCTTTGGAGGCACCGGTTTCCCTCTTGCTGGTTCGGTTTCAGCTCAGTCTTGTCAGAAGAACATCCTGGTTGTTTGACAGTATGAGGCGAAAACATTATAACCTCATAATAGTAACCTTTTTTTTCAACTTCTAAAGATTGGTGTTTCTAGGTTTTGTGGGGTGTTGCTAGGTATTCATTATCAGTAACGGAAAACCGCAATTATGCACATCTCTGAGGGTGTACAGTGTTGTTAGTCATATCACACAGTGGTTGAATAGCTTAGGCTTTGTTTTCTGTTGATCTGGTTTTCTCATCATTTACACTGATTAGATAATGTAGTCTGAGGCAGTAGCTGGGATTTTCTTAAGACTCATTCCTGTTAGATCACTACCAATGATACTAGTTGTTAAATCGTGGTTGAAAAATATCCTAGCTAGAACTTTGAACAGAGAATGGCATTGTAATGGGAGAGAAAAACTAAGTACAAATGCCTGTTTCTTGCCTTTAGGAATGAACAGAGCAGAAGACATTCAACACCATCCAAAACGTTATGGATCAGGTGGTGAAAGATTTAGTCTGGTCAGATGAGTGCAGAATCACAGCAGTGTTTTTGTCCCATTTTGTTGTTAAATGCAAAACATTGCATGAGATTGATTGCAGGTGATCCAATATGTACTACACTTCATATAGCACTAGAATTTGAAACATGGTTTTTTAGATTGGATCCAAATTCTTATCTGCATTTCACCATTTTGGGAGATTCCTTTTGTTTCCTCAGTAGGTCACAAACCACAAAGTCCTACATTTCCCACAGGCCAAAAGGTCCCAAACACCTCAAGGTAATCGGTGACTGTGCACCGGACAGACATATGATCCATTTTTACGACAACCCGTGTGGATCTATGGCTTTCTGGTAACCAGCCAAGCTGTTGTTTTGAGTTGTGAGTGAACTGTATTGCTGAGCAACCTGGATCTGAGCAATAAAGAATATTTGAAAGAAAATTTTTCTTCGCGTGATGATTTTTTAAATTTTTATTGTGTCAATATTTTTGCAACTAGAAAATGACCACAAACGCACTCGTAAAGCTGTGCTGTGCAGCCCGACAGCAGCAGCTCAGAGGAAAACCTGGTTCAGGTGCAGTGTTTTAATCAATAACGTGCTAATCAAATAATAATAATAATGATAACATGTTCTTTAAGCATGTGTTGGAGATGAGATTCCTGTTGCTGCTCCTTTTTGTAGCTATGTAGTTTATGTGAGGAGTACACCATCATCTAGTTGTTAAACATTAGTTATCGTTGCTGTACTGAATTCTTGCCTTGAAATGGCTTTACAGTAATATTAGTGTTTATTCCCCCTTCTCACAGCACGTCTCGTTTGGACTAGAGCCCACTTCCCCTCCAGTCACAACGTAATATGGATCTGAGTGTCTTACCTCCACAAAACCACCACGCATGCAAAAGTAGGAAAAGAGTTGTAATTTTCAACATCAAACTTGATGACCACAGAACATATTCTGTGTATCTAAAAAATCAAATTGAATCTGTTCTCAAAATGAAAGGTCAGCTTACACAAGACAAAGAAGAGTTTGAATTTTTGGAAACCATTTATCAACCTATCAATACTTTTCATTTCTCATTCATCCTGACTGGCCTGTAATAAAGCATCCTGCTTCATTATTCTAGAATCGATTTGAAGCAGACAAATCTGTGAAAGCCTCATCCATTTACAGAGCTATTCTAAAAAGTGAGGGCTGAATCAGCATTCTCCCCACAAAATAGCTAAATGCATCATGTGCTTTACTAAAGGCTAGCTCCATTAAACAGTATCATTTAAAAAACTCCTTTTAATGGAAAAATACAGGAGTCAATGTATACAAACAGCACACAGGTATGGAAAACTGGGAACGTCCTGAGGTGTCCTTGAGATACTGACATTGGATAACGTGAGTCCCGTGGATTGTATCGGATCCATAAATATGATTGTTCAAGTGCATCCAAATCCGGTTTGGCTTAAAAAAAAACTTGTATCTGTGGTCTGGGAGGATGTTCTATTCAGTTGCAATAGATGTCAAATGTTTAAATATTGTGGCTGAGTGCTCTTTGCTCTGCAGACTAGTGAGTATTTAATTTACTAATTGAGTCATCTGTAAACCTATTAAAACAATCATCTGCACAATGCAGTCTCTATAATAATGGATTGGTCAAAGGCGCTGACGTAAAAGTTTCAGCGTGTCCTCAGAGGTAGACTTTAAAGGTCAGAACTGCGAGACAGGCACTTTAAAAGCCGGCCGTTTAGGCCAAAGTCGTACTCAAGAGCATTCCTCCATGATCACTGCACATTCACACATCTATGGACATCAGGACGTCTGCTGCGTTTGCTTTGATGACGTGATTTGGCACCAAAATTTTGTAACACAACATTCAACTTAAAATTGATGTAGGAGTCATGATTTTTCAAAAAATTCCAGTCCAACTGCGGGTGACTCCAGAATCCCTCCACAAAAATGTGCGGACAGTTTTGTTTTTTTAAAAAGCAGCACATTGGGAGCAGAAGGCATGAGAGCACCGGCGGACAAACTGCCGTGGGTCACTGGACTTTCTTGTGTGCGACGCTTCCGTTGTGATGCTGGGTGTCCACTTTGAGGCGGCGGTGGCTGAAGTGGCGGATGAGGGCGCCGGGCAGCAGAGCCACGCAGGCGATGGTCAGCAGCTGCAGCAGCCGGGCCCAGGAGAACAGGTCATCCAGAGAAGACACCTCCGACAGCATCACGCCCGTCTGCACACAGATGAAGTTGTATGGCAGGAGGCCTAAAAAGGCAGAGAGGAAATGTTAACCAAAGCTAAATCAAAATCAAAGTCCAGGTGGTGTTTTTTAAAATATTATTAGTGCTTGAATTATCACATTTTGGACACATCCATGCTCCCACCTCTGGGAACAGTTTCTACCCACATGTCCGTAAAGACACGGATGAGAGAGTTTGGGGTGGATGACCCTGAGTGGCCTCTGCATAGTTGAAGAGGGGCTGGAATATGCTGACCACTAAACAGCTGGAGTGGGTTTGTGATGTGCGCGTTAAGAGGGACAGATCACACAGCTCCAAAGAATCCAAATAATCTGTTCCCACACTGCTGGCATGCAACGTCTTTAAATTCAGTATGGATTTCTTCATGATGCAAGAGTTGAAACACAGATTTCACTTGTGGATGGCAGCTCAGGAACATTTCACATAATGAGACGGTTGCACATAAATTCCTCAAAATAAAAGAGTTTACGTGCTTTAATCTAATCTAAAGTAATGATTTAACCCACCTAACATGCAGTTATCACTCTTTATTGGTAGATCCTGGTAAATGCATAAATGAGAGTGCATAGTGTAACAGTGTAATGCACTACAGACAAACACTACAGTCTCTGTCTGATTTCAAGCTTCTAAATGTAACCTCACTATAAATGTTAATGTTTCTACACTGAAACCTGTAGGAGGAAGACAAGCACCAAGTGGTGAGCAAAACGCTGGGAATGTGTGAAGTTTGGAAAGAGACGGATGTCAGCTGCAGAGCAGCTTAGCAACACCGTCTCCTTCCAGAGATGAAACAAAACGGACACGTGAGCAGGCTGTTAGCAAAGATTTAAAACTAATAATATTCTAAGTAGTCGCCCTCACAGGGTTTATTTGAGTAAGATGAAGATGTGGTCTTATTTTTCAGGAAAAGAAAATATACGACCGATTGTACATTGTGAAAATTCAAATAGGCACATGAACTCTTAAGGACTTACCAATAAAGACTGAGCAGGAGAAGAAAGTGATGGGGATGTTAACGATAGGGGCTGACATATTCAGAAACCAGTTGGGAGTCATGGGAAAGAACCTAAGGAAGAGCAGGAAGAAGAACAAACAGTCCTCGTTCTCTTCCACCTGGAACAAATGAAGATAAATGTTAGTTTGATCAATCAGAGAAATATCAGAGATGGGTTTTTTTCCCCTGAAGTTCTCTTTTCAGAAGCAAAACAGTTCCATTGAATTGTCTCTTTATATTTGTGCTTTCCACAGTAATAGTGGCAAAAGAATAGTCACAATGACATTATTATAGTTAGATATCAATTTCACTCAAACTAATTCACTCTATCTTCTATGGAGACTTTGTAATCACGTCTGTAAAATAATATTACAAAAAGAAAACAGCCAAATATGCATTAAATAATTTTCCTATTCAATTAACTTAAATTAGTCCACAGTTGTCACCATTAAAACAACATGAATATTCCTGTTTTTATCATCAAAATCACTGTTACACTGGCATACTGTGACACCCGCAGTTAGGGGAAATATCAAGCGGGACACTAATGGTTTACAGCAAATCCCCTAGCATTTGCTTCAGTTGGAGATCAGAGCATCTGTTTCATCTATCAGTAGATACACTGTCAGATTTATGTCTAACATTTACTCTCTGCTGTGACTGCGTATTAACTAGTTCCTTTTTTAATCTCATGTTGAGTTTCTTTTTTCTCCAGTGAAAGGGAAGTGTTTAGTTTGTGGCAAAGCTATACCTTTTTCTGTAGCATTGAGACTTTTTCTGGGAAGAAATTGACAATGTACTGCTTTCCAAAGCCTTGGGACAGGAGGTAGCACATGGTGGAGCCCACTGTTGTGAGCACGCATGCAAGAAACAGTCCCTCGTAGGGTCCAAAGATAGCTCCTGCAAGAATGTTCTGTACAATGACAAGTGGAGACCAAAGGCCTGCTGTTAGCACACACACCATCATTAAGTGTTCAAATCTGATCAGAGACAAGCACTGCTACTGCTTTCCTCAAAGTGACAGGAGATAAATGCTTTCAGATCTAACAGTCTTTAGAAGAGTCTTGGTTTGTTTATACCTGTCATTTCTGTATGGGCATTCAGACAGAAATATCTTTTCTCTGAGCCTTAGTTATACTTTTTGGGCTAATTTTAATCTATGATTCTTAGTTTTTTTTAGAAACTTAAAAAAAAAAAATGCTACGCTTACTGAAGATGCATTTCAAAACGTGAATTAGTCTTGCCGGGAAGCAGTATCAGTACAGATGGCACTAGTCCTGCTTTCAACTTACCAAAAAAGATGATCCGGGAATGGCAAAGGACTGCTTGTAGAGATACGCACTGCAGAACAGGAGCAGGACATATCCAGTGTGCTCTGTTTTGTAAAACTGCAGGAGCTCAGCAAGTTCCCTCAGCTCAGCCAAGTCTGAAGGGAACTTCAACCTATAAATTCATTCAGACCCAAGTTAGACATCTCATTTGCAACAACAAAGAAAAAATCTGCCAACAAACAAAGATGATGTCTGTAGTGTTGATGATGATGATGTCTGTTTTAACCAGTTTCCACTGGTTAAAAAGCAGAATTAGATTTGGGATGGCACACAATCCTTAAGTCAAAATGCAGCCTGTCAAATGTGCTCTGGCCATCACTAAATTGTTGTTTTGCTATGATACATTTCAGAAGGAGGGCCGCCATAATTCAAGCAATATAAAACATGATTAATTTAAGTTAATTCCGCACAGAAAAATAACTAACCTCCATCACAGTATAAAATATTTATATCAAAGAGTCCCACATTTAACAAATACAGAAACATCCTAACATTACAGGAGACAAAATTCAGAGTTTTACAGGCAGTGTGTGTTCTCTGCAAAGGCATCTATGCTTAAAGAACCAGTGAGAGATGGCCAGTTTTTCCAAATAAACCTTGAGATATTTCCTTCATTTTGGCTAGCAGCTAAAGGCTAACGTCTGTCACCTGCTGGGTTCCTCAGAAATGTCGCTGAGGCGCTCGGACTCTGCCGCTTCCACATGTTCAATCTCCGAACCCAACCGAGGACGTCTTCGCGGTCCAGCGGGAAGATACAGGGACAGTGAATAAAGATAAAGGCTGGCAGCAGTGACAACGGCGAATAGTCCGACGAGAGAGCGCATTGTTTCAGGCTCCTGAACAAAACGGCAGTCACTGTTTGTTGTTATCGACAAGCACGACGGACAACCGTCACGGTGACGTCACGGACCAAAAGTCAGCAGGCACAGGTCCATATGTTCATTAATTTAAAACATATGATCATTTTTTAAATAATTTAATACTACCAAACTAAATACAAATATAACCTTATAAATGCAAATGAATGGAGGAGTCTGTTAATATCCAGGCTAGAAGGTGGCGCTAGTGCTATAAATGTTTTACTGCAATTAAGGAAGTGGGAAACAGGAAGACGAAGAAGACCATTTGGACTGTAGCCACGAAGGGTCAAAACAGTGAGATAGGTGGAACAGTTCTGGAGGCAGGAGTTTGTTTCAAAGTCCAGTTGACATAATAAAATCAGTGCAACGGCAGCTCGAAGTTTTGCTTGAAAGTCATGGCTCTGTTCACTCTTGTTTCGGGATCTGTTGGCGTTGTAACCCTTCAAAACCCCCCTGTTAATGCACTCAGGTAAGCTTCAGTTAAAAGCAAGGCTGAAGGACTACTTTACTTCAAAGTTACTTTCCCTGACAAGAAATGCATGTAGAAAGTTGTGTCATATCTCTGGTATTGAAATGAGTTACGTTTGAGATAGGTTTAACTCTCTGCAAGCCGTAAATAAATAAAAAAAGAATGACAACACTGAGAAAAAGCTGCATCTTAATATGAAAATTTCTTCCCACAAGGTGGCGTAAGAGTAATAGACTGCAAACACGTCCTACTATTGCTGACAGCAGATGGTCTGTTGTCACAATGCTTAACAGATTCTTAGCATTATGGATATAGTTACATAAAAACACACTAATTAAGCACACATGGAGGAGATTCAGAATTGTTATAACTTAAAAGGATGTTTAAAAAAGGCCGATCTCCCACTGTTTAATTGGACTGGTTGTAATAAAATGAAAAGGCAATCCACATCAACATACTATGACATGGACTGCAGGTTTTCATCTGCAGTGTGTGCAGAGATTTGGACACATTCACATGGATGTAATGGTAATAAGATCACCTCTACTGCAGGATTCTACTAATAGTGTTGTATTTTCTTTACGTTAAGAGGTTTAGTTATATTCACTACCTGAGCTGAATAAAGGTTGTTCAATTGCTGTGTATTTCAGATCTCACCCATCAGGCCCACAGATAATGTAACACAACAGTAACACCATAATTAATGATTTACAGATGGCTGTTTGCCTGAGAACAAATCTTTCTTTTCAGGGACACCTTGTTCACACTCTGAATGCCGCACTCACATCTAAATCCTAACACATACAAACAACATCATGTTTTGAGCCACTTCAGGCCCTCATTTCCTTATCTTACAAAAGCATGCTTGATGTATATTTTATAATATGCCATAAATTACATATAATTTCATGGTTATTTCCATTTGTATTTACAAGGAATTTTTATTCACGATTTAACAGCTTGAAGCTAAAGAGAAATCTTACTGACAAACATCTCTTTGTAACTTCAGTGCTGCAGTGAGGCATGGTATTGTTGACATGATGGACAAAGCGCTAAGTGAGCCAGAGGTGAAGTCTGTGGTCATCTGTGGCCAAAATGGAAGATTCTGTGGAGGTATACTCACACAGTCACATTGGTTTGCTAAACTCCAACCATTTCACTGTTAATTATATTTAGGCATTTCACAAAATTAGGGGAAAAATGTCTAGAGCTCCTTTTGATCATTTTATTAAAACTTGTAAATTGTTGCATAATGGTGAGCGATGAGGGGCTCCTAATGCTCCAAACAGACACCGGTGGAGGAAAGAGTTCAGATTAAATTAAACACAATATGATTAAACTAAATCCAATAATAACTTATGTGAACTTAAATTCATGAGTTATTTAGTAAGAAATTTGGATGCAGTGGAGATGAGTATCACAGCAACTGATAATCAGTTTCATCATCACACCATTAAACTGCAGATTGTTACGTCAGTGTCTGAATGCTTTGGATCGATGGCATTTTCTTTTTATCTCTGTGTCAAACACAGACATTTCCATGGCAGTCAGGTCAGATCAAATCCAAAAGATATCCTCTAGATTTTGCCCTCATGCCATTTCAGTCTTTATGACTCAGTCCCCTGATCGTCTTGTCTGTGTGAATTTATATTACAGGCGCAGACATCAAGGAGTTTGGCAAAAACATGACTGGGCCTCCACTTGTACCAATGATCCACAGAATAGAATCAGGAGCCAAACCGGTGGTGGCAGCCATAGAGGGGATCGCTTTGGGCGGAGGCCTGGAGTTGGCACTTGGTTGCCACTATCGCATTGCTCACTCCAAAGTTAGTACATGCCTCAAATCTCTCTGTCTCTGTTTGTCATCGTCTCTCTGATGTTGAGTTGCATTAACGTTCAAATGACAGATTTATCTTGCAATTTACAGCATGTCAGTTTACTGAAAAAAACAACTATTTAATGATTTTTAGAAATGTTCTCTTAGTAGAAAAAATTATATATTTTGCCTTTTGTCCTTCTGGAGGTAACAGTGATCATTATTTGTAGTATTGTGATTATTATTATTTGATTTTGTATCCTTTCAGGCCAGACTGGGGCTTCCAGAGGTGCATCTGGGTCTGCTGCCAGCTGCAGGGGGAACCCAGCGTCTACCCAGGCTCATCGGTGTTCCTGCTGCCTTAGAGCTCATCACCACAGGTATATAGTTTCACTTCAGGTTGATGTGACTTTTAAAGTATTGATTCAAACAAGTTTCAGAAAAATAAACTGTCCACTGGCACACATGATGGTTATTCATTTAAAGCTGCTCCAGGCAGGGCTCTGTTCGCGGGCAAGATTTTGATATTTAGGTTGGAGCCCTAAAGTAGTTCAATAAAATACAAATGGATTTTAAAAATTCATAGCAACAGCCACAGTGGATGGAAAATACTACAATTTTTAAAAACTATGATGCTTAGGAGTCAGGGCAGTTTAAAATGTAAAATGTTAAATTTGTGGAGAAAAACGTCAAAACCTAGAGGACTCTTTGTGGGTATCGTGTAAAGATCAAACCAGGAGCGCAACGTGCTGTGTTCTCACACATCCCTGAAAACGGATGAGTTTTACTTTGAGGTTTCCCAGGTTAGAGAAGTGCCTGAAACTTTAATCGTACTGTATTCATCATGAATGACTATCGATAGAGAAGCAGGGTAGAGTCCAGCTGTTTTGCTCTAAGCAGCGCAGTTACACCCACATCAAAAGCGTTGACACCACCATTGTGATGTAGATGGCTGGAGGAGAAGCTGCATCGCTCTCTCTCAACCACCCCATAACGTTTTCAACTTTCGTTCAATAATGTGAAGGGCACGTGCTCCAGCAGAAGTTGCTGGGGGTTTGCTTTTCAAAGACGACTAACTGATTACTCCGTGCTGTGGGTTTGGAAAAGGAGGCAGAAAAAGGAGGCTCATGCTTCTGTGGGGGGTGTTGAAAAATGTAATATTTTGGTGGATCAGGTTTAGCCTGCCTGAACATCGTTTAGTCATTGTAGGAATAATACATTTAAAACTTAAAAAAACAAACAAACAAACAGTTTCTCAGGAAAACATCAGAGCAACTGAAAACTTCAGAGCAACTGAACTTTTGTCATTACCAGAAGAAGTCAGTTGGTAACCCAGGAACATGGAAGAAACCCTTATGTTTGAAGAATATGTGTGAATTTCCCCATAGTGGGATCAATAAAGTAATCTAATATAATCTGAAGTTTTTTGCTGCTGAAGGAAATTATGAGTTTGGAAATGATATAATCATTTAACATCCTTTTTCTGCTATAAGTGTTGTTGAGAGATGAAAAGGTTATTGATTTTTTCCATTGAAATGTGAAAACCATAGAGGTCAGATGTTTCCTGGGATCTGAATGTCTGTACTGATGAAATGGAGATGCGGGGTGTGTACTCTGACCAGAGGGGGTCAGCCTATCATAGGTTTTACCACTTTGACAGATCTCTCTCTTTTCAACATTCGGTTTGGATTATTTTTAAATCATCATAATAAAGCTAAAACATGTCATTCCTCATGGTTTTCTCTCTTTTTAAATGTCTTTTAAACCTTGGAAGTTCATAAATAAACAGATTTAATTGTAAGCTTCTTAGTGACAGGGCATCTAAACAGTCAATCATCCCTCAATCATTAAGAATATCTTGCCCTTACTGTGCTGATGACTTTCTTCTGTCCAACAGGCCGTTATGTGACCGCCGCTGAGGCGCTGCGACTTGGGATGGTCGATGAGGTCACCGATGGCAACACAGTAGATGCAGCTGTGAAGTTGGCCTTGAGTGTTGCAGGTGAGAAAAAGGCTGGGATTAAATGTACCCTCTCCTCCCTGGTAGAAAAAAAAGAAGAAAAAAGTTTGATGGAAGGAAGGGGGAAATCTTTTCCGGAGAGGTTAATTTAGGGGGGAGTCCGACATCAAGAGGTGTCGACAAGTAGGCTGTGGAAGTCAAAGGAGGGGGCAGAAAACATGGCAGCCAGATCCTCCAGCACGCAGGAGCCATAAAAGTTTCATGCTTCTGTCAGATGTACTCTGACGACTTCACTGCTTTTGCTGTATTATTCAGAAGGGCGAAAAGGGACAAACTCTCCTAGCATATTAATAATGAGCCATCACAGCCATTTAGAAGGATGAGGATTGCTGCTCGCACGTGAATCTGACTCATTTACACACTGAATGGACTTCTGAAGTGTGCCACATCCCTCCTGTTTTAGAGGAAGCTGGTCTCAGTCTGTGTAAAGAAAGATCTTTTCAATTTGGCTGTCCAGTGATCAAACCATCCAAGGAAGTATGAGCAGATTCAACATGAATGAAAAATAAAAAGGTTGAGGAGTTCTAGTGGTTTATAGAAAGGTTTCTATTCTAAAACACAAGAGGAGAGGAAGTACTTTTAAAAATTTGTAAATCCCTTTAGTCTCCAAGAAAGTAAAAGAGCACAGTCATTAATACCAGATCTTTCTTGTATTTATTGGAGCTTTCCCGAGTATTGTATTCTTCATTTTCTTCTTTTTTTCCATAAACACAAACCGCCCACTCTGTTTGTGGCTTTCTGTGCTAGAACCTTTGAGGGGGAAGATGCATTTTGCCTTTGTGGAGTCCTGCTTGTGTGAGAGCTTTTGATTCTTTTGCATGAAACAAACATGAGTTGTGTCTTCATGACTACGCTCTTGACTTTATACAGAGCTGTCATCTTCGGTGGTCTGTTGCTAGATTTCTGAGCCATAGCAACTCATTTCTGCACCATTTAAAGCAGCAGGAAGTCCGCTTTTGCCTGCAGCAAAGAATGTCATTACTGGAAATTGTCAATAGTGAAGTCAGAAGAATCAAATCTAAAATAACAGTTTACTATTAAAAGATAATGACAATGGATTTGTTTCCCTCCTCACTATACTGCCAAGGTGACTGAGTGTGTGATAGAGTGAGAGCTTTTTGTTGAAGTGGGCCTTTGGGTGAGTCTGGCAGGGCATGGAGAAGATGAGAGCCAACCACTGAAGATTTTAACGGATACTTCAGACTCGGGTTGATTAGCAGGGGTGTTGAACAAGGACAAGAAATGTGTGTTTAGATGTTTCAGATCACAGGACTTAAGGGAAACGCATCATATGAATGCATATTCATGCAGAAAGCAGTTTGTGCACTTAAACTGACGGCTGTGTGGATGCATGCACACGTCCACTGCCCCCTCACACAGACAAATTCAAGTCTCTCACTTGTGATGAGATTAACTTTTTTTTTTTTTTTTTTTACCCCCGTGGTTACAACATCTGCCCACTACATCTGTCAGGACAGCCAGGATTCCCAGTCGCTGTAAATCCACAGCTGAACCATTTACAGATTAACTGCTGCAATAATGCCTCCTAAATTACAGCGAATCACTTCAATACCACCTAACACCTCAGTGTTTTTTAGCAGGGAGCAGAATATGCTCTCAGCCCGTCCCAAATGACCTTCATCATTTATTCTTCATCCATTAGGTTCCGTTTCACAAGAAAATGATCTTTTATTATTATAAAAAAGGGATAGTTTTAATCAGATATGGATGCTGTTCCTTTAAGCTTTGCCACGGTGACCCAATTTCTGGCCTGGACTCTTGGCTGAGTGTAAGTCACCAGAGCTGTGAAGGATTCTGACTACTGTCTCATGTAATCACATCAGTAGAGACAAGACTAAGAGAAATAACTTTTAAATGAGATTTTAGCAGAGTGGCCATCTCCTTTACAGGTTTCCCAAGCTTAAATTAACACAAAAAGGAAGTAGCGTGGGTTTTCTTTCAAATTATATTTGCAACTTTAATCTTTGTTGAAATAACCCAGAAACACATTTTCTCAAAACCAGAGAGTCATCTTACTTAATTGGCCCCCAAAGCTGGAAATTCACTGGTTATTAAGTCCTAAATCTGAATCTTTGCTTTCTATTTAGTATCCGATCTAAATTATTCAAGGTGAACTGTGTCAGTTCCCAGGCAGGGTCCCTGCAATTATCTGGAAATGGTCTGTCAAATCAGTCTGCTTGGACAAGCAGCTGGGCTATCTAGTGATTGAGTGGATGAGAGTGCCTGGAAAAAAAAAGAATAATACCCAGACTTGCTAAGTGCTGGTTGACAGATTTGACATATATGGGGGGGAAAAGAGATCTATGGGCAAATAGAAATATACATATGCAAATATGGAAAAAATGGATTCACTAGTGATTTACTTTCCACTGTAAGTGTTTCCTCTGGAGTCACTTCTACGGTCTGTCTTTTTCAGGAAAGTCACTGGACGCGCGTCGCATAAGCAACTATCCCTGCCCGCAGCCCCCCGGCCTGGACCGTTTCTTTGAGACGGCGATGCAGCAGGTGCGGCAGAGTGCCCGGGGAGCCATGGCACCGGTTGCGTGCGTGCAGGCGCTCCGTGCCGCTGCCAGCCAGCCCTACGGCGAAGGCATGCAGCGGGAGAAGGAGCTGATGGACACCCTCTTCCACTCGGGCCAGGCCCGCGCGCTGCAGTACTTTTTTTTCGCCCAGAGGGCTGTCGGCAGGTGGAGCACTCCCAGCGGGTCCCGGTGGGACTCCAGCAAGCCCAGGCCTGTGCACAAGGCAGCTGTCGTTGGTGAGAGCTTTGGGCTTTTAATTGAGTTTTTCGGTGACGCTTTCAGTGGGAAAACACAGAGTGACTCATCAAGTTATCTACCAAGTATCTTCATATTCACATTGCCGTTGGAAGCTAAGCCCTCATTTACAGTTCATCTGAGTTTAATGAATGAACTCTTTCTTCCCTGCAGGGAGGATTGGCTATATTACAATCTGCATGTGTGTGGCTGAGCAGCTTGTGCATTAATATTACAAACTGTGAACAATTTCACCTAATGTGGCTTGACTAAAACAATAAGGGGTATATATCCTATTTTGTCAGAGATTTCAGCGATATTCAACTTTTGACTTTCTCCTCTTAGGTCTTGGCACCATGGGCAGAGGTATAACCGTGGCTCTTGCACAGGCAGGGTTGTCTGTGGTTGCCGTGGAGACCCATGAAAAGCAATTGATGGAGGCAAGGCAGGCGGTTTCGGGCATGTTGGAGCGAGGAGCCAAGAGACGTGGGGTAGCCCCTGCATACGGCAAGATCAGTTACAGCTCCGACCTCCTACCGGTGGCAGACGTGGACCTGGTCATCGAAGCTGTGTTTGAGGACATGGAATTAAAGAGGTCTATCTTTGAGCAGCTGTCCGAGATTTGTAAACCAGACACATTCCTTTGCACGAACACTTCCGGGCTGGACATCGACCGGCTGGCCTCTCACGCCCGAAACCCAGAGCTGGTGGTCGGAATGCATTTTTTTGCTCCAGCCCACGTCATGAAACTGTTGGAAGTGGTCTACGGGCCACGGTCATCTCCGCAAGCTGTGGCCACCGCCATGCTGCTGGGCAGAAAAATGGACAAAGTGAGCGTGGCAGTTGGAAACTGCCCAGGCTTCGTGGGGAACCGCATGCTCAAGCCGTATTTAGAGCAAGCCTTCTTCTTGTTGGAGGAGGGCGCCACGCCAGAGCTGGTAGACCAAGCTCTGGAGGAGTTTGGATTTGCCATGGGCGTTTTCCGAATGTCCGACCTCTCCGGGCTGGACGTCGGCTGGAGAGTGAGGAAGGCGGACGGGCTGGTTGTGGCCGGAGCCTCAACGGGGCCGTCGGCTCGAAGCCGGCGAGGCTTCCGGTACAGCCCGCTGGGCGACCTGCTGTGTGAGCGGGGACGCTTCGGTCAGAAAACGGGCAGTGGTTGGTATCGGTACGACAAACCCGGCGGCCGGGTGGCCAAGTCTGACCCTTGGCTGCACGGCTTTCTGGAGCAGTACCGCGCCGACCACGGCCTGGCGGCGCGGCGCGTGGACCAGCAGGAGGTGCTGGAGCGCTGTCTGTACGCCCTCATCAACGAGGGCTTCCGCATTTTGGAGGACGGGATCGCGGCGGGGCCGGAGGACATCGACGTCATCTACGTCCTGGGCTACGGCTGGCCCCGGCACCGCGGGGGGCCCATGTTCTACGCCACCACGGTGGGCTTGAGCGAGGTCCTGGAGAGGCTGGAGCACCACCACCGGGCCCACCCCGACGTGCCCGGCCTGCAGCCCTGCCGCCTGCTCAGGAAGCTGGTGGCCAGCGGCAGCCCCCCCGTCCACAGCTGGAGGGAGTTCATCAAGAAGAGCCGCAGTCATCTGTAGAGAGTTTTAGCTTTAACAATCTCAACGCACTTGTGTGATCTTGTACGCCGATTAACCAAATGATCGTAAACTCACACTGCAGCAGAGCCGGTTGGTTACAGAGTTCGTGTGTGAAAATGTGGGGGCTGCAGTGTGTGAACTGGAGGGCCAAATGATTACAAACGCTTACAACTGATGTTCAAAACCAAGAAATGCGTCTGCGAACCCAAAGAGCCACAACTCATACACAAACATTCTGTCGGAAATATTTCAATCACTGCACAGTTGGATTGCGAATAAATGCAAATTATTGCGTATATATGTAATTAACACATGAAGTGGATAGATAAAGTTCTGTGGCAAAAAAATATGTAAAAATTGAACTGATTTTGAGGTGAATTACCAAAGCAGAATGTGGGGATGTGCAGAGCGTAAGTAATGTTAAAGTTAATTAAATATAAATGGAGAGTGATGACAGCTAAGGCTTAAAAAAATGATAACCTCACCAAAGCTCCCATCCTCTACACACGCGTTCTAGCTTTTTTAATCTGCAAAAAAACAACCCCTGTCCTCCTCTGCTTTTTTTTTTTTATTGACCGTGACATTATGTCTAAGAGTCTGTCCTCTTTATATCTGGACAAAAGAGGCTGGAGGAAATTCTTACAGCCCCATAGAACACACTACAAGAACCAGGAAGCTTTTAACAACCAAGAGAATGACTTGAACCACGCTGGGCTTTGTGAGGTTTGGTTGAATTGCAGATTTGTTGCACTTGAAACTAATTACGTAGGGCTGTAGCAGTGGTTACATAATCGCAGGATTTCAATTATATGAGCAGGCTGATCGGTTTGCTTGATAGTAAGACTAGTTTGATTTACTCATATTGAAGCTGCAGTTTGAAATCTGCTAAATGGGGAGTTTCCATCACTGCCCCATACCAAACTTACCCCATCTCCTCAGATGGCACCTCACTTTGTGAATTTATTTTCCAAAATAAGAGCATTGAGATACAGGAAATTCTACATATTTTTCAGTCCTTGCCTTTTCTGTAATGACAGATATCTGCTGTCCCCCAGACCACGACAGATGGGACATTTTAATTTAACCTGTTTAAACCATTTCTCTATCATTAATTGTGATAGACGTTGGGTAAATGTTTGTCTATATGTGAAATGTAATCATGTTTATAAAAACCGAGACATGTTGTATGCAGAGTATTGATTCTTGTGAACCATGTTGTCTGTTTGTGTGAAATGAGTATGTGATGATGGACATTATTATAGTGCAGCTTTTGTCCGGCTTTTTAAAAGCTGCACTGTTTGAGCAAACAGTCTGTCCAGGAGGGGAAGCTAAAAGCTACTGCTCCTGTGTGTAACAGAGGGGAACTGAGGGAGACAAGCCACTTTAGAGCCTTTCAACATCAGCCCATGGCTCGTTTTCCGGTCCCAACCCAAAGTAACTGGACAGATGTTAACGTTGCCCCCTTGCGGTTAGTGACTCCCAGCTCTGTGGTTGGGCTGGAAAAAGCTACATTTACTCCCCACCTATACTGTTTCTGGATAAACGATTTGCTCTATTTGCAACATACTGCCTAAGATGGCTTTTGGGAATCCCGTGCAACATTTTTTTGCCTTTTACCCCGGGACTTCTAAAAAACCAATACTTTATAGAGCCAATAATAAGGTCGATTGGAGGTTGCTTCCTAATCAGATTCAGACCATGATCTTTGAAGTTGTTGGGGGGGAGCTGATGAAAGCCCGTGTGCGTGTTTGAAGTGCGCACAGCAGCTGGCTTTGTGTTCTCGGGCTCCTCCCGTTGTGTGATGAAGTTGAGACGCGCGCCGTTGTTGTTGGGTGCGCGCGTCAGCGGGCGGGCGGCGCACAGCTGAGCAGCCTCCCGACGCGAGGGGAGGATGGACAGCCGTGCGGATCACCGGCGGCTCTGAATCCCGCTCTACACCCCTCTAACTGACGCCTCTCCACTTTTTTGACCGGATTGCGTCCGGATCCAGACGCCAGAGCTCCGCGTCTGGAGCCCAGTTGAAACATCTTTGGCGTTTTTTTTTGCGTGGACCGTTACGCCCGACGCTTTACGCCGTAGTTTTTTTTTTTTTTACCACACCTCGAGATCGTTTGCGTGTTGTTATTGTTGTTGTTTTTATATATCTTTCCACGGGAAATGTTGGCATGGCCGCCTCGGGAGCGCATAAGTGTCCGAAGAGTGAGAAGTTGGACGAGGCGCAGGCTCTGGCCAGGAGCTGCGCGGGGAGACCGGACTTCCTGCCGTGCGACGGACTCTCCATCTGTGCGACGCACAGCCACGGGAAATGCTTCAAGCTGCACTGGTGCTGCCACTTGGGCTGGTGTCACTGTAAGTTTTGTTTTTGTACGATCGAATCGCCAGAAGTAGGAAAAAAAAACCCGTCGTTCCACCGATGGCAAACAGATACTGAACGCGTTAGTGTTTCAGACGTGGCACCGTAGTACAGAAGGGGGTGACACGTTCAAAGGGAAAAATGTGGGTGATATTTGATTAGGATAGGTTTATTCATGAATCATATCATCTGTGAGTAGATACAAAGACTTGTCATCAAATTGCATTTTCAGGCAAAAGGTGGGAATAGTTTCCCCTCAAGGGACGAACGTTATTTTAGACATAACAGCATTTTTAGAATTAGATTTCAAAGAGTTAAAATACGGACTGTTTTAAAACCATCACATCCAAGCTTGGCCAGAGTGCAAGCCTCCAACAGAAACACTATTCTGACTAATCTGACAGTGGAGGATGGACAACTCGTAATCATTTAAATGAGAGCCTTTGGATTTGATGTTTAACACAGTCTCCTGACTTTGACGTCTGATTCACCATTTTCATTTCCATTCTAAAGGTTAACTCTGGTGATGTCCTGCATTTGTCTTAATCTCTGTAAATTCCGTGAAATGTCAAAACCAACTGAGAATTGATCCGGTTAAAAAGTCAAACGTTATCGTCCATCCAAGATCAAGGCGCATCACTATTAAAGCTATTTTGGATCTACATTGTGTTTAAACCAAACAGCAGGAGTAGAATGATCCACTTATTTAGATAGTCCCTAACAAAATCAACCCTTAAATGTTTTCTGTGGAAATGATTATAGGAAACAACATAGTGTTCAAACACTCAAGCAAGTAAATAAAAAAACTCTCTTCTTTATGACCCCTTTTTAAAATGGGATCTTTCAGTAAGGAGGAGGATCTGGGGCTTGGGGCTGACCCTGCAGGGAGGTGGAGCAGAAGGCATTAGCCACTTTCTTCCCCTCCCCTTTTGTGTCTAGAGGATTTTTTCTCACAGAAAAGATGTAATATGACACCGGATTCTTTTTCTTCCTAATCACAGTCATGCAAACATGAAGTCATTTTTCTTTCTCATCTATTGTACGACATCTTTCAATATTTACTTCTACACAGCACTACATGGGCTGCGTTGGGAAATGATGGCTCCCCTAAAACACAGGCAATTGTCTCGTCACTTTGAGGGGTGACAGTGGCGTTTTCCACACCTGTGTGTACCTCAGACCCTTTCAGTTGCACTCCCTCTCAACCTGACACTTTAACACCGGCAGAGTCTCAGCAGCTGCGCCTGGACCTGACAGGACGTCCGTCTCTGTGCGCTGCCCCAATTTATCCCCTCCACTTCCGCCGGCCCTGGAAATCCACAGATCAGTGTAGAACACAATCACTAGCTTGTCGTCAGCCGGTGCTCGGGGGCTGTAATCTTTGTCGTGTAATCATTGGATTTAGACCCTCGCTGCCATCCGGAATGAGCCGGGCCATTTTGAGACACTACACGTGGCAGAAAAAATGACAAAGGCCATCCGGTGTTTTACTAAACCACATCCGGCCTTTGGGATTCCGGGGTGAAACCGACTGTGAACACTGGGGGTTTGCCAGCTCCTCTCAGATTTTAAATGGATCTGGACGCAAACGTGCCACGGAGTAGAGAGGCAGCTCTTCATCAGTCCAGCACAAACGTGTCCGTGGAGCTCCTGACGTTTGCACCGCTCCGCTGCAGCTCAGTTTGGTCGTGCACCAGCTCAGACTGCTGAGACGGGCAGAACCAGGACCCCCGCTGAGAGAGGGATACCAGCCCCCCCCCACCCCCCACCCTTCTGCACGCAACGCAACGCCTGCCCCGCTAGGCTCAGCTCAGCCTGCCCGACGTCCTTCGTCTCTCTGAAAACGAATACCAGTTCAGGATGTGAAAGAGCAGAAATGTAGTAGTGCCCTTATCTGGTCCCTTTCTTCATTTGGGTTGTGCCTGTGACAGCCGCCTGGAGTAGCGGCTCGTTCTGCCGGTGATTGTGCATTCACCACAGGGAGCCCTGCCAGGCTGCCTTTTTAATTACATTTTTAATAGGTTTCCTGGAAAACAAACACAAAAGGTCGCAACATAGTAGAACTTGGCTGAGCATTTAAATTCTCTGACAGGAATTATTCCCCTTATCTGGGAGCGGCGCGGGGCGCGTACCTGCGACTTCATTCGCTGCTCCTCTCATTTCTTATGTGCCTCTGGAAATGGAACGTCTTCTTAATGCTCCTGGTTTGAATGTTTTCCATTAAAAATGTAGCTTGTCTGGCAGAGAACACAGAGAAAAAGAAAACGGAACTGGGTGTAGGTGGAGGCCGTGTTCCCAGCTGGTGACAACATCAGTCCAAACCACTCATTAGCAGTAATTAGCTGTGTTTAGTGTCACTGCCAATATATCACATACGATGAGAGTTCTTCCTCACAGCATCACGAGAAGCACCTGGTCTGAATATGTTATTTTTTGTCTTTCTTTATGCTTTACTAACTGATTGCAGCTACCCAGCAGAGTGATGAATTACTCATTAAGAAACTTGAACAGGGACTATAATGAGCTCTGAAGAGTCTCGTCACTCTGCTTGTTCCCTGTCAACTCACATTTTGAAAGCCGGGACTTGTACTTCTCTCGTTAATACGAGAAATTGGGATCTCTGTCAGTCTCCTCTGCCACACAGGTGCAGGCTTGCAGCTCGAAACCTTAAGGGGAAGACCTGGACGTTTGCTGGTGTAAGCGCTGCCCAGGATTGGACGCGTTGTGCCAGATAATTTACTGCAGTGCTGAATCATAGAATTTTTCTCTTATTATCAAAGGGTCGATACATTGTCAGCGTAGGCCTGAGGGAAGGTTCTTGATGGATTGTGAATGTTTGCAAGCTACGGCTTCTCAGTCACTTTAATGGCTGATCTGTCAGTGATGGAGGCAGAAGTGTACAAGCAAGGTTCAACAAGTCTTGCATAGCACTCCTTTACTATTGTCCCACAGTCCAATGGATAAAAACACAAGAAAACACAACGCAGAACTTTGGAACCTCCAACTGAATGCTCATAATCCACGTGGGAAACTGTTCCTCGTAACATAAGAATGAAGCCACCACAAAATTGTTCAAATAAATCCCCAGCAATTTAAGATGTTGCTCACTTTAAACTCAGACTCAAAAAAAGTGTTTGGAAAAAAAAGCCAGAAGCAACTTCATTTCAACCTTTTCCAATCGAATCCTCAAAGTTCGCCCACATCGTTTATGCTTGGAGAGCATCATTTCTCACCAGTCAACAGACAAACAAAGCGTTTCATTAGCGGGACAGGTTGACAGTTTACAGGTGTAAATGAGACATGACAGAGTTCTGCTCTGCTGTGTTGGTCTGGTGTGTTGGTCGCTTTTTCAGACAAAGACGGTGTCTTTATCTCATTTGTTCACAGAGAATCCCACAGCTGCCATACGCCCAGTCACTTTAGTAGAGAGGTCATTAGCAGGAAGATTGACTTGAAGCCCGAGCACAATAACAACAATCACTTTTCATTTAAATACAGACAAGATACAACAGACACGATACAACTGTCAATAAGGGCCATTACAACCATTTTGCACATCAGTCTGATTTATAGGTTTTTGAAGAAAATATGGGGTTGAACAAATGTTGAAGGCATATGCACTGATGTCTGCAGAGTGGGGTCAGTTATGTGTGTTGGGCTAAAAGGAAAAAAAGGAGATTATTTCACTTCTGTAGCGGCTCCTCATCTGTGACTCAAACTGATCTTTGACTTTTGGCTCATGCTGACATATCAGCACTTACTTTTCAGAGTGTTCCAAGCGTGCATTATGGATAGTATACTATTCAAGACTGACAAGTTATGTGTGGA